GGGGGCGCGCGCGGGGCGCGGCGGCGGGGACGCGCGAGTGGGGCCGGTGTGGGGCTCGGGGGCGCGTCCACGTGGCTGGCAGGCGGCCACCCGGAGCCAGCGGCAGCGGAGGGACCGGTAGGTAGGTGGCCTCCATACCCCGCCGCCCGTGAGGGGACGGACTGCTCGGTGGCCCGGGATTCGGGCAGCTCGGAGGTTGGGTTCGGCCTCGAGGGGGTCGGGCCCTACCTCTGCTCTTGCATCTTGGACGCCGGCCTGAGTGGTCCTTCGTGCCCAGCGCCTGCAAAGACGGCCAGCCTGAGCCCAGCTCCCCTGCCCTATGTGGACCCTTTGTGGCTGAGGGGCGGCCCGTCCAAGGATTGCTGGGGCGCCTGCATCCACCGGGGTCCTCGTGGGTCCGTTGAGGAGTGCCCCCGATGGGGGCTGGGCGAGCCAGGCCAGCAGCACGGTGGGGGGCATCGGGGAGTGGGACCCTGGAGCCGTATCTCTGTGTAGGGCTGTCTCTCTCCTCGGGCAGACAGCTGGGTGTGCCTGTGGTGCCCGAGGCTCCCACTTACAGGTGGAGGTTGGGGTGGGGGCTTGGGTGGCACATCCTGCCTCTCCAGGTCTCCCTCCTGACCTCTCCCCTGCCCCCATCTCCATTCCTAGGCCTGTATTCCTGCCGGTTGTGGAGGAGGTGAGGGTGGGATATGGCACCCCCATCTCTTCCGCCTCCCTTTCTTCTCTGGCTGTTGCATTGGGGTCCGGGATGCAGACCTGACAAAAGAGCCCCAGAAAGATGATCAGTCTGAGCTGAAACTCTTCAGTTTCAAGAAGGGCCTGTTCCTTGTTCTATCAAATGCATTTTTTCTTTTCTATCTCCTATGCATTCTTAGTTTGGTCCCCTGTACCCCCGCCCCCCGAGCTGGGTACCTTGTGTCTCCCTTGGAGCTTGGGCACAGAGAGGGTAGCTCTGAGCCCTGCTCCACTGGGTGCCATGACACTGCTCTGCTGTCTTTGCTGCCTAGAGCTGGCCAGAAAGCTGGGTGTGGCCTGGGGGTGAAGACCTGGCCAAGCTGGGCATTTGGCCCCCACCCCATCTCCCCAGGGCCTCGCTGGATTTAGGGACATTGCTTCCTTTCCATAGGGCTCCTTGCACCCCCCCCCCCCCCCCACCCCCCCTGTTCCCCAGCTAACCTCGGGATTTGGAGGGAGAGCTGCACAGGGCCCCCTGGGCCATCTGTCTGGCTGTGCCTGAGCACAGCCTGACTTATGTCTGTCTTGGCGCGTGGCTGTGGGGGCAGGCACAACTCGGCTTTGTGTTACGGTGGGTAGGCCAGACAGCAGGCTCCTGGACAGCCAGCTTGGGGAGGCCCTTGGGGCGAGGAGGCAGCTGGGGCCAGGACTCCGGGTGTGATGGCACCGGGTTCAGTCTCAGATCTGGATGCCTCAGACCTCTGACCTGGGTCTCCTGGTGGCAATGCCACTCTGGAGTGGTGTCCCCCCCCCCCCCACACACACACACTTAGGATTGTTCACTCTCCGCCTTTCCCCTTCCCCCAACTTGGGCGTGGGGCGTCTCTGTGGCCTGGGACTTGCCTGTAGTGGCTCTTGCGTGTGGCTGGCCACCCTAAGCTCCAGGATCTGGTGTTTGGGGTCTCATTCTGGGAGGGCCTCCCACCCTTCCTTTTTCAGCATCTGGCTCTGCTGCCCCCTTGGGTGTGGCCCGGTTGTGGGGAGGCCTCCTGGCTCCTTTCCAGCGGGGGTGGGGGGTGGGGGATGATTGATGGCCCTCAAGCCTGCCTGTGCTCGCTGCTCACTCATGCGCCCTGGTGGAGGCCCTCCTTGTCTCCCAGCCACGGGCACCATCTGGGACTCTGTGGTCCGCTGGTGGAGGAGTGGCCTCCACCCTCTGTGGCATGGTGCTCGGTCCGCTGGAGGCCCTAGGCCAGTGGGGCAGAAGGAAGGCAGGCAGCTTGGGCCTGGGCCTCTGATTTGCACTTGCTTCTTCTCCCCAGGCCTGTCCTCGGGCGCAGCTGGCGGCCATGCCTGCTGTCTGCCTCCTCTTGCTGGTCCTCCTTGCCGTGGGGGGGGCCCTGGGCAGCGGCAGGCCCTTCCCTGCCTTCTCGGTGACAGACACGACGCTCACACACCTGGCTGTGCACCGGGTGACCGGGGAGGTGTTCGTGGGTGCGGTGAACCGCGTCTTCAAGCTGGCCCCCAATCTGACTGAGCTGCGGGCGCACGTCACAGGGCCTGTTGAGGACAATGCTCGCTGCTACCCACCTCCCAGCATGCGAGTGTGTGCCCACCGCCTAGCACCTGTCGACAACGTGAACAAGCTGCTGCTCATAGACTATGCGGCCCGCCGCCTGGTGGCCTGCGGCAGCATCTGGCAAGGCATCTGCCAGTTCTTGCGCCTGGACGACCTCTTCAAGCTGGGTGAGCCGCACCACCGCAAGGAGCACTACCTGTCGGGAGCCCAGGAGCCTGACTCCATGGCCGGCGTCATTGTGGAGCAGGCTCGGGGGCCCAGCAAGCTGTTCGTGGGCACGGCCGTGGACGGCAAGTCTGAGTACTTCCCCACCCTCAGCTCGCGCAAGCTCATCAGCGACGAGGACGGGGCCGACATGTTCAGTCTGGTGGGTGAGCCCGTTCACCTTGTCAGACGGGCTGCTGGGCCCTCCTCCCCTGCTGCCTCTTCTTACCCCTCTCGTCTCCCTCCTTCCTGCACCCTGTCCTGGCTCTGCCACCGGAAGAGCCCTGATCCAGGAGGAGGCCAGCCGCTGAGGCCGGGCCAGGGCCCAGGAGGGTGCTGCTCAGCCCACCCTCGGCGGCCTTTCTGAGCTGCGCTCCTATGACTCTGCAGGCAGAGTGAGATCACGAGGGAGGCCCCAGGGGCGACCGTGTCCTGGGAGCAGGGCCCGGAGTGGGGTTGTGGGGGCCGAGAGGCCAGGGTCTGGGAGGTTGGCAAAGGACACGGGCCTCGTCCCATGCTCTCTCCTGAACCCCCTCCACAGGTGTACCAGGACGAATTCGTCTCCTCGCAGATCAAGATCCCCTCAGACACGCTGTCCCTGTACCCCGCCTTTGACATCTACTACATCTACGGCTTTGTGAGCGCCTCCTTTGTGTACTTCCTGACGCTGCAGCTGGACACCCAGCAGACACTGCTCGACACGGCGGGCGAGAAATTCTTCACGTCCAAGATCGTGCGCATGTGCGCTGGGGACTCGGAGTTCTACTCGTACGTGGAGTTCCCCATCGGCTGCTCCTGGCGAGGCGTGGAGTACCGCCTGGTGCAGAGCGCCCACCTGGCCAAGCCCGGCCTGCTGCTGGCCCAGGCCCTGGGCGTGCCGCCCGACGAGGACGTCCTCTTCACGGTCTTCTCTCAGGGCCAGAAGAACCGGGCCAGCCCGCCGCGGCAGACCGTCCTCTGCCTCTTCACCCTCAGCAACATCAACGCCCACATCCGGCGCCGCATCCAGTCCTGCTACCGGGGGGAGGGCACGCTGGCCCTGCCCTGGCTGCTGAACAAGGAGCTGCCCTGCATCAACACTGTGAGCTCGCGCCCGCGCCCGCGCCGCAGGGCCCCGGCCTCAGTGCCCGCACCCTACCCTGGAACGCCGTGTCTTCCCGTCAGGGATTCCCACCCTCGTTGCCCCCGCCCTCTGCGGCTCCCCTTTCTTCCCCGGCCGCCTTCTCACTGTTGACGGGTGCCCTCTGTTCACGAGCTGCCGGCTTCCGGGTGCTCCGCGCTCCTGCTCCTGGGCGGCCCTGTGCCGTCCCGCAGGCCTCGGAGGTGTGTGGTGTGTCCGGGGGCCACCCGCTGCCTCGGCCTCACCCCCCCTCCCCTGCTCCTCCTCCTCCTCCTCCTCCTCCTCCTGAGCCGCTGGCTTCCTGTGGGGTCCTAGGGCAAGCCTCTGGTCTTGGCTGGTGGGGGGAGCCGGTTCCAGATCCAGCTCCCGTCCGGAATATGGGGTCTCTGCCCTCTGTCCAGCTGGCGCCCCGAAGCTCGGATTCTCACCGCACCCATCCTGTTTCGCCAGCCCATGCAGATAAACGGAAACTTCTGCGGGCTGGTGTTGAACCAGCCACTGGGTGGCCTACACGTGATCGAGGGGCTGCCCCTGCTGGCTGACAGCAGCGATGGTATGGCCAGCGTGGCCGCCTACACCTACCGCCGGCACTCTGTGGTCTTCATTGGCACTCGTACCGGCAGTCTGAAGAAGGTAGGGCGAGGGCCGGGGGAGGGGGGACTTCCCGGGCTGGGCCCCAGGAACCTGGCCACGCTCCATAGGCGGCTCCTCGGCCACCCGCCCTCTCCAACACCAGTGCCCACTGTGGCCTCAGTTGCTGGCTTCCCGTGACACGGACCAGACCGGTCTCGAGGCCTCTCTGCTGGGAGTGCAGGGGCCCTGGCTGAGCCATCATGCTGGGTCCTCAGTTGAACGAAGGAGGAAAAATGTGAATGTAACCCCTTTTGCCCTCTTGTCCCCTCATGGGCACCAGGGCTGCTTCCGTTACTAGACGGGGTAGCATGAAAGGGGGAGACGCACTCTGGGAGCCCCAGTGTGCTCGCTCCGAAGGGACAGTGGTCAGGAGAGCCGCCACGAGCTCGTCCGGCTCACCCGGCAAATACGGAGTTGTCCCCAGGAGTTCTGGGGTTGGCTGGGGAGGGTTTGTGAAGGGAGCCAGTGACTTCTGGGGGGCCTGGTCTGCTGCCCCTCCTGGGCCCTTGTTTGCATCTCTAACCACTTCATGGAGGCATCGCCCGCAAAGCATACACTTCTCCCACTTAAAGCATACAGTCCGTGGTTTTAGTAAGTTTGCACAGGGTGTAACTGTCAGCATGAGGTCATTCCGGGATGGTGTCTGTCATCCCCCAGAAAGCTCTTCCCCTGCCTATGGCCATCTCGGGAGTGGGCACGTTGAGAGCTGAGCCGCACCAGGCCCTGGCTTCAGCTTGGCCACGACCTGGAAAGTCCGTGGCTTGACAAGTGGATGTTCTGGGTGTGTGTGGCACCCTGTGGCATCAGGCCAGCGTGTCTCGTGGCCCAGGTCCGGGTTGACGGCTCCCAGTATGCCCACCTGTACGAGACGGTGCCCGTGGTGGATGGCAGCCCCATCCTTCGAGACCTGCTCTTCAGCCCCGACCACCGGCACATCTACCTCCTGAGTGAGAAGCAGGTAGGCCCGTGGCAGGCGGCAGCGGGTGGCGGGGTGGGGGCAGGGCGGGTACTGACGCCGCCGTCCCCAGGTGAGCCAGCTCCCGGTGGAGACGTGCGAGCAGTACATGAGCTGCGCGGCCTGCCTCGGCTCGGGGGACCCGCACTGCGGTTGGTGTGTGTTGCAGCACAGGTGAGGGCCACAGGGCCGGGCGGGGAGGAAGGGTCTGCAGGGGTCCTTGATCCTGGGAGGAGCCGGCGATGCCCGCTGATTGGGGTGGGCAGAGCGTGCCCTTGCCCACGTACCCATTTCTCCCAGTCGTACCCTTGTGGCCTCTGCCTCCGTCCCCTCCTGCTTCATCCAGCTAATGAGCGGAGCCCCCATCCCGAGTGACAGCCCTTAGGGCCCAGGGGACGAGGCCAAAGCATGCTGTTGCCTGGCACTGTGGGCTGGGCTGGCCGTCTCCTCTTCCCTGCGGACATATGTGTACCCTCCCACCGCCCGGCCAGGGCCCTCGGGACAGCTGTATAACGGGCTCTGGCCTAACCCCACGCAGATGCTGCCGTGAAGGAGCCTGTCCGGGTGCTTCCGCCCCCCATGGCTTCGCCGAGGAGCTGAGCAAGTGTGTCCAGGTGCGGGTCCGGCCCAACAATGTTTCAGTGACATCACCCGGGGTGCAGGTAAGTGCTGTGATGGGTGGGGGTGCGTGGGCCCGCGTGTGTGTGTGTCGGTGGGGGGTGGGGGGGGACGCCTCCCGCTCTGACTACTCCGCCTTCCCCAGCTGACCGTGGCCGTGCGCAACGTGCCAGACCTCAGCGTCGGCGTGAGCTGTACCTTTGAGGAGGTGGCGGAGAGTGAGGCCGTCCTGCTGCCCTCCGGGGAGTTGCAGTGCCCATCGCCCTCCCTCCGGGAGCTACGGGCTCTCACCAGGGGGCACGGTCAGTAGGCTGGGGCTTTCCGGGATGGGGACGCTCTGCGTCCCGGGCCTGCTCACGGCCACCCCTGGGCTCGCCACAGGGGCCACGCGCACTGTGCGGCTGCAGCTGCTGTCCAAGGAGACTGGCGTGAAGTTTGCCGGGGTCGACTTCGTCTTCTACAACTGCAGCGTACTCCGGTCGTGAGTACTGGCATCTCTGACCTCTGTCCCCACACCCCTCCGTCCCCTGCTGCGTTGTGTGGGCCTCAGGTGGGCCCCGGCGCCTCCTCCCTGGGGCTTCCCGTGTGCCCCGTGGGCGAGTGGTGAGAGCGCGGCCTGGTCTTCTGCGTTATTCGCGAAGCCTCTCCCTGCAGGTGCATGTCCTGCGTCGGCAGCCCGTACCCCTGCCGCTGGTGTAAGTACCGCCACGTGTGCGCCAGCCACCCCCGAGAGTGCTCCTTCCAGGAGGGCAGGGTCCACGGCCCCGAGGTGAGGCGGGTGCCGTGCGCGAGGGGGCTGGGCTCCATGTGGGCTGGCCTCTGGCTTTTCTGCCTTTGTTCTCGTTGCTTTCCCGGAGCCTCTTGGGTTCGGGGCCAGCCCAGCTGGGCCCCGGTGGCGGCGGTGGGTGTGTGGCTGACGGGCGGTCTCCCCGCAGGGCTGCCCTGAGATCCTGCCCGGCGGGGACCTCTTGATCCCAGTCGGCGTCATGCAGCCCCTGACCCTGCGGGCCAAGAACCTGCCGCAGCCGCAGTCGGGCCAGAAGAACTACGAGTGTGTGGTCCGCGTGCAGGGGCGGCAGCAACGGGTGCCGGCCGTGCGCTTCAATAGCAGCAGCGTGCAGTGCCAGAACGCGTCGGTGAGGCCCCCTCCCGCGGGGCGTGCTGGTCGTGAGGGTCTGCGCCCGGCTCGCTGCTCAGAGAGCCCGACGTGCCTCTGGCGGGGGACCTTCTGAGCACCTCCGCTCTGGGGTGACGCGGGTCCCTCTCTTCCAGTACTCCTACGAAGGCGACGAGTACGGTGACACCGAGCTGGACTTCTCCGTGGTCTGGGATGGCGATTTCGCCATCGACAAGCCCGCCACCTTCCGAGGTGCGGGGCGGCACGGGGCTGTAGGGCCCGGGGCACGGTGGGCACGAACTGGGGCCAGGTGCGGCAGGGGGACCCCGCACCGGGGTCCTCGGCGCCCCCGGCGCCCCGCGGCCGCCCCCAGCGGTGCCCTCTGCCCGCAGCTCTCCTGTACAAGTGCTGGGCACGGCGGCCCAGCTGCGGCCTCTGCCTCAAGGCTGACCCTCGCTTCAACTGCGGCTGGTGCGTCTCGGAGCACAGGTGCCAGCTGCGGGCCCACTGCCCGGCCCCCAAGACCAACTGGATGCACCCGAGCCAGAAGGGCGCCCGCTGCAGCCACCCTCGCATCGCCCAGGTCAGCCTCCCCGGTCTCCTTCCGTCTGCCAGGCACCCACGAGTCTGGGCTCACCCTCGCCTATCGTCCTGCTCTGCAGATCCACCCGCTCATGGGGCCCAAGGAGGGAGGCACTCGGGTCACCATCGTGGGTGAGAACCTGGGCCTCAGCTACCGGGACGTGGGCCTGCGGGTCGCAGGTGTGCGCTGCAACCCCATCCCCTCCGAGTACGTCAGCGCCGAGAGGTGAGTGCGGCCGTGTGGGCGCCCGAGCCCTGGGCTGTCTGCCCCCAGCCCTGACCTTCTCTCACCCATAGGATCGTGTGTGAGATGGGGGAGTCGCTGGTGCCCAGCCCACCGCCGGGGCCCGCGGAGCTCTGTGTGGGCGACTGTTCTGCTGACTTCCGCACACAGTCCGAACAGCTCTACAGTTTTGTGGTGTGTGGGCTGCCCGTCCTTCCCCCTCCCCTCCCTTCTGAGACCCCTCCCCCCCACCCGCACCGGGCCACCTCCTCCCTCTCCTCAGGGCCGCTTCTCCCACAGACACCAGCGTTTGACCGCGTAAGTCCCGGTCGGGGCCCGGCTTCCGGGGGCACACGGCTCACCATCTCCGGGAGCTCTCTGGATGCCGGCAGCAGGGTCACAGTGACTGTGAGAGATGGCGAGTGCCAGTTCGTGAGGTGGGCGGGGCCCCATCAGCTCTGGCCTGGGCACTGGGTAGGGGGCCACAAGGGCAGGGTGAGTCATGGCCCCGGGCTACCTGCTCTCAGCGCCCCACTTACCGACAGGAGAGACGCCGAGACAATCGTGTGTATCTCGCCCGTGTCCACCCTGGGCCCCAGCCAGGCCCCCATCACCCTGGCCATCGACCGTGCCAACATTTCTAGTCCCGGCGTCTTCTACACCTACACCCAGGACCCTACGGTCACTCGCCTTGAGCCCACCTGGAGCATCATCAAGTAAGACCTGAGGAGGAGTGTGGGTCGGGGACTGTGTCCCTGAGCTCCTGTCCCGGGGCCTCGCTTGGTGACTGGGGCCCAGGGCATCAAGTTACGCGTCCTCCAAGCCTCAGCCCTCATTGGCAGAGGGGGGCAGGGTCCTCCCAGCAACATGGCACCTGGCATTCACCCAGTGACCTGGGGTGGGGGAGGCCCCGGGCTCCATGGCAGCTGTGATAACTCTCTGGAGGCCAGGCAGGGAGCAGTGGCGGAGGGAGCCTGAGGCCCCTCCCCCGCTGCCCCCAGTGGAAGCACTGCCATCACTGTGAGTGGGACCCACCTACTGACCGTCCAGGAGCCCCGGGTCCGGGCCAAGTACCGAGGCATCGAGACCACCAACGTGAGTGCCAGCGGTCCTCGCCCTGCCCCTAACCCTGCCACCTGTGGCTTCATGTGCCGGGCTGCCCTCCCTTGTCCCCGCAGACATGCCAGGTGATCAACGATACCGCCATGCTGTGTAAGGCCCCCGGCATCTTCCTGGGACGGCCTCAGCCACAGGCCCAGGGTGAACACCCTGATGAGTTTGGCTTCCTGCTGGATCATGTGCAGACGGCCCGCTCCCTCAACCGGTCCTCCTTCACCTACTACCCTGATCCCAGCTTCGAGCCACTGGGACCCTCCGGTGTCCTGGATGTCAAGCCTGGCTCCCACGTAGTGCTGAAGGTGCGAGTGGGGCACAGTGGACCAGGAGAGGCCGGGAGGTGGGGAGCCCTGGCTGACCGCACCCTCCACCCACAGGGCAAGAATCTGATCCCCGCAGCAGCTGGCAGCTCCCGCCTCAACTACACGGTGCTGATCGGGGGGCAGCCGTGTGCGCTCACTGTCTCCGACACACAGCTCCTGTGCGACTCACCTAGCCAGACGGGCCGGCAGCCTGTCATGGTGCGTGGGAGGTGGGGGAGGCCACCGGGTGGGCGTGGGGGTCAGCTCACAGTGGGGTTGTCCCTGCAGGTACTGGTAGGTGGCCTGGAGTTCTGGCTGGGTACCCTGCACATCACGGCCGAGCGGGCGCTGACTCTGCCGGCCATGGTGGGCCTGGCGGTGGGCGGCGGGCTCTTGCTGCTGGCCATCACCGCTGTGCTGGTCGCCTATAAGCGCAAGACTCAGGATGCAGACCGCACGCTCAAGCGGCTTCAGCTACAGATGGACAACTTGGAGTCCCGCGTGGCTCTGGAATGCAAGGAAGGTGCCTGGGACGGTGGTGTGGTGCAGGGCGGGTGGGCTGGGAGCCTCTCCCCTCCCGCTGCGCTCATTCTTCCTCCGCGCCCTCCCCAGCCTTTGCTGAGCTGCAGACGGATATCAATGAGCTGACCAACCACATGGACGGGGTGCAGATCCCTTTCCTGGACTACCGGACCTATGCCGTTCGCGTGCTCTTCCCGGGCATTGAGGCCCATCCGGTGCTCAAGGAGCTGGATGTGAGTCCCCAGCTCGCCTGCCCGGCCCTCATCGCCTGCCACGCCTCCCCCACTCTCTGAGACGCCCTGTCCCTCCCAGACTCCCCCCAACGTCGAGAAGGCCCTGCGCCTCTTTGGACAGCTGCTGCACAGCCGCGCCTTCGTGCTCACCTTCATCCACACGCTGGAGGCCCAGAGCAGCTTTTCCATGCGCGACCGTGGTACCGTGGCCTCGCTCACCATGGTGGTCCTGCACAGCCGCCTCGATTACGCCACGGGGCTGCTCAAGCAGCTGCTGGCGGACCTCATAGAGAAGAACCTGGAGAGCAAGAACCACCCCAAGCTGCTTCTGCGCAGGTAGGTGCTGCAGGGCCCCGGCCCCGCCTCCTGCCAGCCCCACTCCCACCAGGCCCGCTCCTGCCTGGGGAGCAAGGTGGGTGGGCCCCCTCTCCAGTCTGGCCCAGCGCCCCTTTTGCCCTAGGACCGAGTCGGTGGCTGAGAAGATGCTTACCAACTGGTTCACATTCCTGCTGCACAAGTTTCTGAAGGTGTGCTGGGCGGGTGGGCGGGTGGGCGGGGCGACCCGGGGAAGCGGCTGGCGGGCGGGCGGGCAGCGTACGTATGCCCGCCCCTGGCTGCAGGAGTGTGCCGGGGAGCCGCTGTTTCTGCTCTACTGCGCCATCAAGCAGCAGATGGAGAAGGGCCCCATCGATGCCATCACGGGCGAGGCCCGCTACTCCCTGAGCGAAGACAAGCTCATCCGGCAGCAGATCGACTACAAGACGCTGGTGGGTTGGTGGTCGGGTGGGCAGGGCCTCAGGCATGACGGCACACCTCGTCCCGGGTCCAGCCTGTGGTTCCCCTCACCCGCAGACCCTGCACTGCGTGTTCCCGGAGAGCGAGGGCAGCACTCAGGTCCCAGTGAAGGTTCTCAACTGCGACAGCGTCACCCAAGCCAAAGATAAGCTGCTGGACGCTGTGTACAAGGGCGTCCCATACTCGCAGCGCCCCAAAGCCGAAGACATGGACCTAGGTGACCTTGCCCCTTCCTCCCGGCCCCCACCCTGTGGCCACATTGCATTGACTGCCATTCCCGCTGCCTGCTTGGGCTCTGTCCGCTGAGGGAGGTGGGCCCCGGGGCCCAGGGTACTCTGGGCAGGACCTCAAGGGCTGTCTGTGGCCTACAGAATGGCGCCAGGGCCGTATGGCCCGAATCATCCTCCAGGATGAGGACGTCACCACGAAGATTGAGTGTGACTGGAAGAGGGTCAACTCATTGGCCCACTATCAGGTGAGGGACTGGGAGCCACCTGGGGGCCGTGGCCCTGCCCGGAGGACACAGTCCCTCCTTGGGGAGCCTCGGGTACCTCCGACACGCACACCACAGGGTCCGGGTGGGTGGTGGCTCAGGCCCGCTGGCTCCCCAGCCTCCTGTGCTGCCCTCCTCTGTCTCTGTGGTTTCCAGGTGACAGATGGCTCCTTGGTGGCACTGGTGCCCAAACAAGTGTGTGCCTATAACATGGCCAGCTCCTTTACCTTCACCCGCTCGCTCAGCCGCTACGGTAGGTGCCTCCAGGGTGATGGCCTTGATTGGCCTTGTGCCCTCTGAGGCTGTGTCAGCCATCCTGGGGAGCCCCCTCTCTGAGTGGCCACCATGCTTCTGGTGGTTGCCCTGGGCCTTGCCCTTGGGAGATGTCCACTTTCATAGAGCCTGGAGGTGGGGTGGGCCGGTAAGAGTAGGCAGCCCCCTTAGCCTGCTGGGCTCCTGGAACAGAGGTGGGCAAGAGCCGTGGCGATGACTGGCATGGCCCCACTGGCCTAAAGGGCATGCCTGTCCCCTGCCCCAGAGAGCTTGCTGCGCACAGCCAGCAGCCCCGACAGCCTCCGTTCTCGGGCACCCATGATCACGCCTGACCAGGAGACTGGCACCAAGCTGTGGCACCTGGTGAAGAACCACGACCATGCTGACCACCGCGAGGGGGACCGCGGCAGCAAGATGGTCTCAGAGATCTACCTGACTCGACTCCTGGCCACCAAGGTGTGGGCCTGCCCTGAGCCACCCTGGCCTCAGCCCAGACATCTTCTAGCCCAGCCTTGGCCCTGCGGTTGGTCCGGCCTGCCCTGGGGGTAGGCCGCAGGGTTCTTCAAATCTGGTGCGCCTTTCTCAAGGCCTGAGGCTGGGGCGGGGCCCGTCTGGGGCACTGTCCCTGCAGGGAAGCTCCTTGCCCCTCTGTCCCCCTGTTCTGCTGTGGGGCCATCCCAACCTGACCTGTGCTCTTGCTGACCCCTGCAGGGCACGCTGCAGAAGTTTGTGGATGACCTCTTCGAGACCGTGTTCAGCACGGCTCACCGAGGTTCAGCCCTGCCCCTGGCCATCAAGTACATGTTCGACTTCCTGGATGAGCAGGCCGACCGGCGCCAGATCAGCGACCCTGACGTGCGCCACACCTGGAAGAGCAACTGGTACCGCCTTGTGCTGGGCCACTGCTGGCCCCCCTGGGGATGGGCGGACAGAGGAAGGGAGGACACCTGTGGCTGTGCCGGCACTCAGAGACCAGGGGGGTGGGTGACTGACGGGGGCTGGAGTGGCCATCCGGGCAGGAGAGGGCCTGCATCAGTCGCCCCTCAAGCACAGAAGGGGAGTTCGGTTGATTCCGGATACGGGCCCCGCTGGGCCATGTGGGAGGCCGGGAGTGGGGCCGGCACAGAGCAGAGGTGCTGACGGCCAGGCCCATGTGGTGGCCGTGGTGCGGGGTGAGATGCAGCGAGGACGGAAGGCTGTTTGCTCTCATTTCTAACTGCTTGAAGTCTGGCAGAAACTTAAAGAAAAGGCCGCTAACATACGTCACACTTGCTGCTTGTGGGCAAGAAGTGCACAGGCCAGGCAGGAAGCGTAGAAGGGAGCACTGATGGGATGGGCTTCAGGTGCCTGTCCCTCCCTGTCCAGCCTGCCCCTGCGCTTCTGGGTAAACGTGATCAAGAACCCCCAGTTTGTGTTCGACATCCACAAGAACAGCATCACGGACGCCTGCCTGTCAGTGGTGGCCCAGACTTTCATGGACTCCTGCTCCACATCTGAACATCGCCTGGGCAAGGACTCGCCGTCCAACAAGCTGCTCTATGCCAAGGACATCCCCAACTACAAGAGCTGGGTGGAGAGGTGGGCTGGGAGGGGAAGCAAGGCCTGGCAGCCCCGTGCCGGGTCAGCTTGGGGAAAAAGTCCCCAGAGACCGGCCTGACTGCCAGGGCAGGGGCTTTGGTGGCACCTGCCTTTGTGACCTACTCAGGGTCCCAACAGGTACTACCGGGACATTGCAAAGATGGCATCCATCAGCGACCAGGACATGGACGCCTACCTGGTGGAGCAGTCCCGTCTGCATGCCAGTGACTTCAACATCTTAAGCGCGCTCAGTGAACTCTATTTCTATGTCACCAAGTACCGCCAGGAGGTGCGTGCCAGTCTCGCGGGCCCCCAGTCGTTAGGCCCTGATGGTGCGGTCAGTGGCAAACACGGGGGGGGCCCTGTGAGGGTGAAGGGCACTAGAGGGTGGTGGAGGGGACAGAGGGGGCACGGACCCCATCTCTTAGATCGCTCGCAGCGCCTCCCCTATTCAGCCCCCAGGCTAGCACAGGTGATGCTTTGCAGAGATGCTGGGATTTGAGGGGGCTAGGAGAGAAGCCACTGGCCAGAGAACGAAATTCTGCTCGGGCAAAAGTAAAGGTCCAGGGAAGGGGTGGGCTGACGGGCTAGGGTGGGGCCAGAAGGTAGGCAGGGCCAGCACCTTATGCAGCCCATGGGATTGGTGACCCCACACTTCAGTAGACCGAGAACATAGAGGTGTGGATCTGAGATCGTATTATTGCTGGAAGTAAGAACCCGTCAGCCAGGACATGGCCCAGAAAGCTCTGAGCCTGGATGAGCTCACCAAGGGCAGCCGAGAGCCAGTGTAGGGGTACAAGTGGCCCACGCACTGAGTCCTGGGGTCCTGGGACACTCAGAGGTGGCAGAGAAGACAGGGAGCCAGCAGTAGAGACTGAGGAGTGGAGGGAGGGACCCCAAGACTGCAGGGTGGCCTCCTGGAACAGGACACACACACACACACACACACACACACACACACACACCCCTGGGGCAGGAAGGGGGTGGTCAGGAGGGAGAAGAGTATGATTGGCTTCCTGGGGTGCTACTGATGGTCAAGGGCAATGAAGCCCTAGAAGGTTGCCGCATTTGGCAAGGAGATCCTGGATACCAGCAAAGACAGGGTTGGATGCAGGTCAGGAGGGGACGGGGAAGTTGGGTGCGGGTTGGGATGGGGGTCAAGAGGGGACAAGGAAGTCAGGTGCAGGATGGGGGTGGGTGTCAGGAGAAGACGGGGAGACCAGGAGGGGATG